CCCAACTTGTCGACGAACGTGCCTCTGCAGTTGGTAAAAGAATATCTACGAATCGAGTGCGAGTCAAGTGCACCAAGAGCTTGTTGTGTCAAGCGAGAGACCGGCACCTTTTCGTCAGCTCGCGGGTAGAAGTGCTCTCTTGTCAAGGCTAAGCAAGGTCAACTGTGGCAGCAGCGCAGTAGGTCAGCTGTAGTAAAAGTCAGCTGTTGCAGTCGTTGCCGTTGAAACACAAATACGAGAAAGACGGATCGTCGAAAACAATCCCAATCTAATACTTGAGATCGTTTGTCAAACATCCTCCATTGCCGTCCCAACTGTCGTATCTGAATGGTTTGAGCCGTCAGTCCCAAAACGACGAAAAGCTCGCACGACCAATAATGCGTCCGTCCAATTCGCCTCCGAGCCACCCTCGTGGACGCCGCGACGTGCGTATGGAACCAGTACTACCCCGACGACCACAACATCGGTATCCGCCAGCCGGGGAGACCCGTTCTGTGCACTACTATAGCCCTATCAGCGACACCGATGACCGCTTCTAAGCCGCCGTGACCTTCCCTCAACTGTTTCCGACACGGCGAACAATGGGCTCCGTTGCTCCAAGTACGAGGTACCACTTCTTGCACCGCAATACACACCAGTGAGTAGTCACAGTCGAAAATGCTGCAGTGTGACTTGACGCAGGCGAACGCGACGGTGGTGTGGCTGCACTATCAGGAGCTCATTCGGACTGGAACAAAGGACTTTGAGCGAGCAATGACGGAAAACATTGAAGACGTGCTGCTTTGCATGGGCATCACGCTGTGCATGCGGCGGCACGGGCTTTGCCTGGAGGCAGAAGAAGACGCCCGAGGAAGCGGAACGTGCTCGTTGGTCGCACCAAGATCACGGTTCGGTTGCACGGCGTGACGCCGGTGCTGCCCATTGCTGCGGTGAAAGCAGAACTGGTGCAGCAGTTTGTCAGTGTTATTGGCGCGGTCGTGCGAGTGAGCGCTGTCAAGCCACTCGTCACGAGGTGCGACTTTGTGTGTGCGAAGTGCAATGAAGCGACGTCCGAGAGCCTTCCCCGAGGGAGACTTCACTCCTCCACAGGGGTGTGAGCATTCGCCGTGTCGAGGTCGGACGCTGCTACCGAACCGGTCGCGGTGGATACCGTCGATTACTAGAAGATCAAGTGGGTCGGAATAGCGCGTGTGGGGTTCTCCGAAGATGCAACTGACTCATCACACGCATGTGGTCATTGTGGTCTTTGATGCTGTTGTTGTTGCTGTTGCTGTTATTGTTGTTGCTGATGTTGTCAAGACTGCAGGAGATCGAAGCCACAGATGTTGGCCCTGGCCGTGTGCCGCGAATGGTAACATGTTACCTGCCTATGTATGACCCATCCGTTCGTTACTTACGTCCAATGAGTTGATCATCGTGGCGCGCAGATTGAGGTGGAATTGTACGAGGATCTTGTGGACTCTTGCATTCCTGGTAACGTCGTGACGATCTCAGGCATCGTGAAGAGCGTCAACTCGGAAATCCACGGAGGAAGGTATGGCAAGCGTGCGCAAGCAAACAGCCTGTATATACTGTACATCAGCGCCAACTCCGTCGAAAACTCGGCAAAGGTAACTTGTGCGATGGTGTGAAGGGCTTGTCGGATGCGGAATGATGGACCTCGCATGTTGTGTCCGCTTGCTTCAACGTAGGCGGACAAAGACAAAGCTTCGGACATTGATTTTGCCAAAGAAGACCTCGAACAGATTAGCAGTATCATCAATCAGGGCGACGTCTTCGACCGGCTTGTCCATTCCCTGTGTCCCGGCATTTATCGCAACGACATCGTGAAGGCTGGTCTGATCCTGGCGTTGCTCGGAGGAACTCGGAACTCGGATGACAAAGACACGCCATGCGTGAGCAGAGCAGATTCACACGTGCTAGTTGTTGGCGATCCTGGTCTGGGCAAAAGTCAGATGCTTCGGGCTGTGTCCATGGTTGCGCCACGAGCTGTGTACGTGGGTGGAAACACCACTACCACGACGGGGTTGACTGTCACAATGGTGAAAGACGGATCCGGCGACTACGCGCTGGAATCCGGTGCCCTCGTTCTCGCCGATCAGGGAGTTTGCTGCATCGACGAGTTTGACAAAATGGGGATCGACTACCAGGCCCTGCTCGAAGCGATGGAGCAGCAAAGCATCAGTATTGCAAAGGCAGGTATCGTGTGCAGCCTCAACGCTCGGACGTCCGTCATTGCCGCTGCCAATCCCAGCGGCGGTCACTACGACCGCAGTCAGTCGGTGCGAGAGAACCTGAAAATGAAAGCTCCGCTCTTGTCTTGCTTCGACCTCGTTTTCATCCTGCTGGACCGGCCGGACGAAGAACGAGATCGGCTGTTGTCGGATCACGTGATGAACTCTCACGCACGTGGCGCGCGAAAGTCGAGGAAGCGCGTGCGCGACGACTGTGCGCCAACGAGTTCATGGAAGTCGAGCAGACACGCCAACACACTGCCGTCAAGCAATTACGAACCAGCCGCCGAGTCTGGTCACCGCATGCTATCGCACCGTCTCCGTCAGAACGTGTCCGAGTTCAGCATCGACCCCATACACCTCTACTTTGTGCGCAAATTTATCGCGTACGCTCGCCGATCCGTGCACCCACGTCTGTCGCCTGAGGATGCGACTGTGCTTCAACAGAAGTATCTGGAGCTGCGTGCAGCAGGCGAGGGCGATCAGAACTCGGCGGACAGCATCCCGATCACCACACGGCAGCTCGAGTCGCTCATCCGTCTCTCGCAAGCGCGCGCTCGAGCGGAACTCGCTGAGACCGTCTCGGTCGAGCACGCCCGAGATGTCGTTGACATCCTGCAGGACTGTTTGCGCGACACGTGCGTCCCTGAAGACAGCAGTCTCGACTTTGGCCGCAGCGGAGGCATGAGTCTGGCCAAGAAGGTGAAAGCGTACGTCGCACGGCTCATGAAAGCGGCAGCCCGACGCAACACGAGTCTGTTCTCCATGGACGACCTGGTCCAAGTGGCCGACAGCATGGCGCTCAAGGTGGACGACTTTCGGGACTTCGTGGACATCCTGCGCAACGAGTGTTACTTGCTGAAGAAAGGCCCGGGACAGTACAAAGTGCAAACGTCGTCGTACAACATGATGTGACCAAGACCGTGTTGTGCGACTACGTTATCAGCAGCTTCGGCTCGAGGATCGCTGATGTCTTCCAACAGCCGCCGCAGTTGGCTTCGACGGTCATCAGCAGCTCAACTGGTGCGTCCGCCCGACACGATCGTCTACTGCAGGTGTTTACTTGATATTGAGCTTCTCCCGACGGGCCCTGACCTCCTGGTCCACGATAGCTTGCGGTTGCTCGGAAGAGAAGAGGTCGTGGCCCGCTTTGCGTTCTACAAGACAGAAGGAGCGAAGGAGGAGGGAAAGCACAGGTGCGAGTTAGACGGCGGACAAGCGAGTGGAGCGAACGAGCGCAGCGTACGCTTCTGGACAATGGGGTACGCGCAGATGGCGAGACAGAGCGACGTGCCGACGAACACTTTGCCGCTCTGGCTCAGCGGGAGCTTTTCGAGGAACGTGAGCAGCATCTCGATCGACTGACTGAGCTCTCTCGGCTGTCTTGAGCGCTCGATTCCCTGTGATGCGACATAGCGAGAGGGCGACGGGGACGTGTCAAAGTCGATGAACGTCCTGCTGATAATGATGGCTCGGTCAAAGAAGCGACGATCAGTGGATGGAAACCTGAAGCACCGAGAGAGACGGACGGACGGACCGCAGTGGCAACAAACAATGATACACAACGACACTTACTTGTGCTTCAGAACGTGGTCTGTTCGCTTGCTTGCTTTCGACTGACTGGTGGTACAGCTGATCGATGTGGCACTGCTTGACCACGGGCACATGGCTTGAAGGGCGTTGTGTGTGAAGCTGTTGTGGCTAGGTACGTACGTCGCTGAAACGAGTCGTTGAAGCGAATTGCCGAGAACAACGATCCGTTGGCAGACGCAGACACCGATACCAATGCTGCGTGGTCCATCTTTGTTCCTGTGGGTGACAGTTGAGGCAGAGACTATCGATAGGACAAGAGCAAACGCGTTTCGACTCTTTCGTAGTGCATTAAACGTGAGACCGTCGTCAACTTCTCCAGTATTCAGCATCCAACGTCCGCCGCAACGCAATTTCTGAAAGAAACTTGTCACCGAAGGCGGCCAGAGCAGCCCGCCGTCCGACGCAACCATCAGCCTCTCGCCTCCACTGCTTGTTCACTGTCCGATGAGAGCGTCGACTCTGCACGACAAGCTTTGTCGCTCGATATTGTCGTTCGCGCCGGCCGCTGACCAGTTTCAGCTTTGTCACCATCCCACAGAGTTACTTGTTAGAACCTGGAGTAACTGTAGTACCCGGCGCCTGCTTGACGGGCGCTTCTCGATTCGTTTGTTTTTTATCTGCCGCTTGCCCCGACGCGAACGTCACGCAGAGAACACCGACGGCAAGAAGAAGAAGAAGGCTAGCGAACCGCATGCTTTGACGCTGAGATGTGGGTAGATGCTTGCAAAACCGATAATGACTGACCTCGAAGTCTGCGCCGATGCGCTCTCGTAATCCATCGTCTCAAGAAGTGTGAAAATCCGCACGTACCTATCTCTTTGAATCTTACATAGGGTTTGGTAGGTAAAAGCGCGACGTCGAGAAGCATCGATATGTGTATAGAGCGTGTATGGAACAAGCACGACAGCTTCATCGTCACCGTCTGCTGTGGTAGACTCGTCGAGAACTCGTGATAGAGACTTTCAGTACAGTCATTCCTCCGATAAGTTCTGGGTACGGTGGACGACAATCACCATAACTTAGCAGAGGTTATAACTAATTGATTTCTGCGTATCGTACATAAGGAGAACTAATCAATTGAGTGGTCAAAAAAGCGGACCTGGCCACCCAAACCAACCCCCACTTCCCTCAAGTACAAGCCAAAATCCATCCATAAGGCTTTCTTTCACTGCTGGAACAGAACAAAGTCTCAGGTTCCTGGCTATTTTGCTACCTTCTTAACGGTATGAGACGGACCCATAGCTTCTTTTGTCTGAGCTATCAATTATTGCACAGGGAAAGCCACATATATACAGTTTTTAACCGTGTCTTGCCTTTTGGTGTGATATCTGAGCAGTAAAAACTATCGCAGATCCGTCTTACCAATGGACAACGTTTGCAAATATGCAAACACGAGGATGGGTACCCATATTTATCTCAAACGGCACTGGCCAAATGGGCTTCGATGGAGTTCAGCGTTGTCAACACGCTGTCACAGGCATCAATCAGCAAGATCTTTCGAAAGCGGTCTAATCTGGAGAATATGGATCCAAGCAGCCTAAATGCAAAGCGACAGCGACTGGTTCAACATCACATACTGGAAGAAGCCGTGTCTCAATGGGTCCTGCAATGTGAACACCGCCGAGTGATTATCACCGGGGATATCATTGTGCGAAGACTAATCGGCTTGCTCAACTGCTTGGTGCTCCTGACGACGCCATCACTTTCTCCCCACGAATGGCTTTATTAATTCCAGCAACATCACATGCTAGGCGCTATCAACATTTACGGTGCAAAAGACTCGGTGGACATGGAGAAAATGAATTGAGCTTTGCCTGATGTAAAGAGGGTCATCGCAGAGTACGCGCTGTGTGATGTTTACAACATGGACTAAACCGGTAAATTTTGTTTGTTATATTTTGAATTGAAACCGAGTCTGATAGAATTAATGTGCAGGACTATACTACAGCATGACACTTGACAGGACTATTGCACAGCAAGAAATTGAAGGACACAAAAAAGACAAGGTGAGTATATTGCAGAATGGGAGTTGTCATATACTGTCACATGGATATGCACTGACATCCTATGCAGTCGCGAATCACAATTGCGCTTACTTTAAATGCTGATGGCTCTGACAAGCTTCAGTCTTTCAATATTTGGAAAGCCATGAAGCCCCGCTGCTCTGACAAGAAATCATGTCAAGCGCATGGATTTCTCAATCGCAACAGCACAAAGGCTTGGATGACGGTCGTGTTCTTCCTGGAATGACATGCAAATCCAGACGAAACAATGAAGTTACGTATCCATTTAATATTAGAAAACATATGATTCTAATAATGTATTGTTTCAGATCAAAGTAGAAAGATCCTTCTATTGATTGACACTGCTCGGTCGAAAATGACGAAAGACCTTACATTAACTAATTCAAGGTCCAGCTGCTTCCATCACGTATTACGTCCGTAATTCAGCTGATGAATGCCGGTGTCATCGCAGCATTCAAGCGGCGGTATCGCCGTCACCACCTGCAGATTGCGATCGACTGTGACGAGCGTAGTGAGGGTTTTAACATCCACAAAGTCGATCAACTTACTGTCATGCTCTGTTCGTTGGCTGCCTGGAACGAGATTTCAAGCACTACCATTGCCAACTGCTTTAGCCACACGGGGCTTTTTCTACTGAATCGGACATCGTAAGTGCAGTGAGGTGGAAAGGAGTAAAGATGGCGCAACGGAGGTCTAGGAGAAGGGAGGTAGGTTGGAGCAAGAGCTGATAACACAGCTCAACAAGCTGCGTGGCCGAGATCCCATCAAGATTTTGAAGCTTCTCGATCCCATCGAAGAGGATGAGACTGATCAGCATGAGTTAACTGACAACGAGATTGTAAAGGATATTTTGGAGGCAGATGATGAGGGGGAAAACAGTGAAGATGCGGCGCCTGTCGTAGAGAAAGCTACCAGAACCGAGAAGATTGAACTCCTTCAGTATGTCTGATCCTTGCTCGACGTATCTCGGAAAGTCACCAAGCTGCTTATAAGTCCTTCACAACCTCAAGCTTGATCTTCGCAACACCCTCACCACCCAAACCACCCTCGACAGGTGATTCAAGTATTTCCCTTCTTTAATGCAAAAAGTGATCATTTTTATAGTAATATTACCCTTTTTGATCATAATTTAAAACTTCTGACTTCGCGGCCATAGAACGAGGTCCGCGGACGCGGAAATTAATAACCTAATAATGGTTATAAATCATCGGGGGTAAACTTATGGGAGGGAATACTGTACGTTATTCTGATACTTCTTTCGATAAACAAATAAAGTTCAGTCCCGATTTTGATCCCCATATAACACGTGACTTCTTGAGGCGTTTTGTGGACGTAGAAGAGTCGAGCAACGCTTTGTTAAATTAGATAATCTTAGAGCACTCTTTACCGTGATTCTTTGAATAGTTTGGTTTACTGGAACAGAAACCTTAAGCCCTGAAAGCTTGTTGACTCTCTGAGTCGGGTTCTATGACCTAAAGTTGATCGTTGAGAGTAAAGGATTCGTCTGACTTAAGAAACTGTGGAGCTCCTCTACACTTGGTAGCACTTGTAGTCAACCCACGCCTGAGTCTTTACGACTGATCCTCTGTGAGGATGGAACACTCCAAACCCCATTCTGAAGACTAAAATGTTTCGCTATATTCCTGACCGCGGACGTAGGCCCAGAATATGTGGATACCCTAGCTGAGCAAGGTTCCAATGTGCTAGTTGCACGTGTCGTGATCTTCGTTTAGTACGAAACGACCCTTGTAGAGCAGGTCCAACATCAAATAGAGGCAGCTATGTCAACCCACTTTGCGCTAGTTCCAGATGAAGAGGATAGGCCTCGTCCCCTTTGGGTGGACGATATAAAATAATCTGTAAAGGAGAAGGAAAAATCCACATTCTAGATCCGTGAGATTGAGATGGCCATGAGATCCGGCTTAATCTCACTTGGGCATCCGCGAGTCTTGCTGTTCATCTCTTGGCTCGATGGGATATCTAGAGAGTGGGATCTGACGTGCAGCACGTCGGTTGACTTGGATTTGCCCACATGCGATTCGCTCATGCTAGACCTTTTGCGAGTTTTCTTGCCGCCCAACTAGTCTTATCTCGTGCGCATTCGCTTCTTGTCTACCATTCAGCTTTAGAATTAGCTTACAGATATTTCCAAGAGTTGAGAAGTCTGATGGCTGCAATGCAGTGTGACCCTATCTTTGAGACAGTGTATGCAACTGTATTCATGAAAGGGCTTCGCACTGGCGTGGACAGACTAGAGGTCTTTCGAGTCCATCCTTCGACTTTTGAAGAAGCTGTGAGCATCATTAAGAATGATTAGCATAATTAAAAGGGGTACAAACTTGGTCGGAATGGGTACAACCCAAGCTTTGCGAGGGCAACCCCAACAAACACTTTGACTTACTGAAAGCCTAGATTGATGGATATCAGCCATGCTGAAGATGAAGGTGAAGCTAAGCTTCAGGTTGCGGAGCAACAACAGGCAGCGAGCGTTGTATACGTGCGGTATCAACAATGAATTGCGTCCCACTTGTCCTCTGCGCACCCAGCGCCGGACACCTATGTGTCGAAACCTTGGGCCCTACCAGAAATCTGGTATGGTGCGGGAAACGTCGACACCAAGTAGTCGTGGGGAGCCCTAATGGAGAAATACTAGGTTCTGTCACTTCTCTACGCGATAGAGTAGAGCAGGGCTTAGCACCAAAGATATCTGTGCCCGTCAGCATTCAGCGTGGATA